ATCACATGTTCTGATGTTGTTTATCTAGTTTGAGGTGATTACGGTCAAAACTGGATTTTTTAATCAATTTTAGAATTACTCTACAAGCAATGCACTAAAACTGCAGTGCTTTTTAAGCTGATAAAATGTGCTGTTTAGCTCACTTAGCATACTTTTTGGGAAACCCTGTTCTATGACAGCTGAATTCTTTCTTTTAAAGCAGGCCACATTTCTGTTTCATGCAAAAACATAACAAAAATAGTAATTTTAATTGAAATTACTTCAACATGGTAATTCTAGTTTTACAAAAGGAGTGCTATTAAATGTCTAAATTTGCATGTAATTGAGATTTTGTAACTGGCTTCTGGTACATTTTAACTACAAGCATGTGCATAAAGTACTTGCATATACATGCATACCTGTTGATGGTCTCCAGCAATAACAATACGAGTATTCTCATTTGCCATTAGAAATGGACTAAGAGCTTCAGGTTCACGAGATTGAGCTCCCTCATCAATTAGAATATGAGTAAAGAAATCAGGCTCAACCCGTCTAGATATTGTTAGGGCTCCTCCAAATGTTGTGACCAATAGAAAGGAATTTTCATTCTTGTATGGTGAATTATCAAAATGGGCAGCTTGCACATAACCAGGATAGCCAACACAATGGCGCGAGCTTGTAACACGTACAACTTTTACTGGCCATGATTTTGACAGCATTTTGCTGAAATAATCATCTATAAAAACATCAGCAGAACGTTGGTGATGACAACAAATTAAAATACGACAAGGTGAATGGTATCCAGTCTCACGATGCTCTCTGAAGAAACATTCTGTAGCCACAGCAAGAAGACGAGTCTTACCACAGCCAAAAGCACCAGGTATCAGGACAGGAGCTGAACACTGGTTACTGAGTATTGCTTCTAATGCTAAATACTGCTCAGGATCAAGATCAATCCCTCCATATGGGTGCCTTCTAATGTCAATGGCAATATCTCTAGGAGGGCTTTTAAAATCTTCTGATGTAGGTATAAGACGATGTAAAACATTCATGCTTATCCTTTTCACTCCTTCATTGAGGCCAACAAAATAATTGTGATTAACGTCAAATTTTGCATTGACTTTTAAAAGAGACTGGCCATGAATGCTGCCTTTGAAACAAATGTATAACTTATCATCAATATGTGAATAATTACAACTCAGAATGTTGGCTACATAGTTATGTCGGCCAATGCTAACAGTAACATGTCGATTACTGGCTTGAGTAGCATACATGATCTGTGCTGATGACATTCCTTGTAGACAATAGAAATGAGGGGGATAGCTCTTTTCATCATGCCTTAAAAATGGCGGTTCACATTTTTGTAAGGCAAAGCTACCATCACACCTAAAAATAATATTCAATATTAAAACTCAGTACTCCGTATATTAAACTCACTTCTTCTTTAATAGTTCAATGTGTTCTTGTTCTTCATAATAGAGCAAGGCAGTGAACTTTGCTTTATAGTGGCCTGTTGTGATTGGTAGCTTCATGTCATCATATGAAGGTTGAGATTCCCTGTATGAACTATGTAAACTTTTGGTATCCGGTTCTTTCTAGAAATAGATGAATTTGCTTAGTGTCAGTTCTAACTCGCAAATTACATGTACATACCAGCTAGAGTTTATTGTACTGAAAACATAATTATCTACGATGTATAATCTATAACTCATGTAGTCATGACGTATGACATAAATGCAGAGTATTTATTGATTGTGTTATGGCTTCAATTGACAGCAACAATTATTGAACAATCCACTAAAATCTCCTCCCAAAATCCCTGGTTCATTGAAATTATAGATTTATGTACCGTATATCCTTAAATAAAAGCCTGGGCGTCTATTTCCTAAAATGGTAGTCTCGCCATCCAGACCATTCCTTAGCCTACAGTCATTGGGGTGGACGGCCCCAATGACTGTAGGCTGGGAATGGTCTGGGTGGCGAGACTATAAAATGGTATTTGGACCTCGAAAAAATATTAAACTTCGGTCCAGAGCGGGATTCGAACCCATGCCCTCATGCACTTGACTTCAGGAACTTTAGCCAGTATCCACAAGACTACTGAGTCACTTCAAGGCCACATTTGCATATTTAAACTTGAATTCTATTCGCATGTGGCTTCTATTTAAGGATATATGGTACATTGTATAGGTACAACAGAACAGAGTCGTACATAGTAAAAGGTGCTAATAGTACCACCATACATGTAGTATACTGTATTCATGCAACAAACAACTAGGCCTGGGCGATAGTATTGATAGTATCTATAGTGGCACTATTGTAATAGTCTACTGTACAGCTATTATGATAGTGATACTGTTATTCTAACTATCATTATGATAGGTATCATGTGTGCATGGAGCATGGCATACATGACACTTTACAGCTGTAATTATCTTCTTTATAGCACATACAGCTTGCTTAGAGGTTTTTCACTGTCCCTGCTACATTCGCACTAAGTGAAGGTGTTTTCAGTATAGTAGGACAGTGTTTCTCTTTGAAAATTTGGATTAAATAAATTTAAAATAACTAGTATTATGCATGTATATATAATGTAATTTTACAAATTAATAAATACGTTGGTTAAATACAATAACTACATCCTCAAATAAATTATTGTATTTCCACATGTAAACCCTATGGTTAAACTATCGTGATATGTTCACTATTGTGATATTAGCGTTAGTAAATATCATGACAGTAATATTACTACTATTGCCCAGGCCTACAAACAACATTCAAATGCTTGTTATAATGTGGTGATTGTGTTGCAAATATTAAGGACAAGAGGTTGTTTGGTTTGGCTGCTTTTATGCTAAAAGTATACTGGGAATTGTGGTTACATAATAGACATACAAACATGCTACCAATATCATACAGCCAGGAATATTGGTGAGAGTTATATTTGGCAATTAGTTAAAACTTTCGTAATTGGAATATTATTTAGAAGCCATATGTGTCGTTGTCACTCATTGAGCATGCTCGAAATAAGGCAAAATGGAAGATTTTATATTGGCAATTGGCTGCTTATCACATTCTAATATTAATCTCTGCAGCTGTACAATAGATTATACTGTAGCATGTAGGGTGGGCCTAACTTGTGGAGTCTAAGTCATGCTTACTGAGCTTTTTAAAATTTTAATAAATGAGTCAAATACTGGCACTTGATTGGCAAATATTTGTGGCATGAGACACCTACCAAATTTTTGTACCTATGGTATATTTAATTACAACTAGTTGCCCACTGTAAATGTACTAAGCAAAAAATAAATTCTGAAATCTTACCGGAGGATAATTGTAAATTAAACCACTCTGATGAACATTATCGAGCAATTGTACTAGAATTCCTTTATTTATTACTGCCCGGCAATACCCTGATTTATGAATATCTGGTCTCCTGCAACCAATAGTGTAAAGAGCAGTGTCTGCCGGATGAAAACAGCTGGTACAGACAAAAGCAGGTTGATACATATCAGGAATCCACTGACGCACAGCCATTCCTCATTAAACCATAAGCAAATGATGAACACAATAATAGGAAGATAAGGGGACCGGACTGACCTAACATAAAGTTATGAATAATATCAATTTCTAAGAACAGACAATAAACCACAATGTATAACAACAGACAATAAACCACAATGTATAACAACAGACAATAAACCACAATGTATAACATGTTGGACAGTTTATATCAATATTAATGCATAAACATCTAGTAGGTACACAGATATATGACGTAATAGCTACTACCATTATATATAGCTTTCAATTCAAGTGACTTAGTCTATTGGTCTAAGTGTGACTATTGGCAAATCACATGAAGTAATTAGTATATTTAATAATGATTACAATTTTGTAGAAAGCAAGACCAAATCACCGATCTCACAAAACTAAGAGTCTTCACAGCAGTCCAAGCATTCAGCAGCAGCAGCAGCAATCTCTCTGCGATTGTTTAAGGCGTGGCTCAAGTAAATTATTAATCAATTAGAAGTAATGAATAAATTATGATTAGACAAAGAGTTAGGTCAGTAGTACAGTACATATAATGATAGGCTATGGTCAGTTAGCATGTATGATAGAAGACAATGCCCAAAATCAATGAAACCAGCCCTGATACAGTATTGATACAGTCTAACAAGTGTCATTGCTAAATCATTTATGTTGCTCTGGCTGAA